CCGCCCCCCCGTCCCCTCTCCGCCCCCCCCGTCCCCTCTCCGCCCCCCCGTCCGCTCTCCGCCCCCCCCGTCCCCTCTCCGCCCCCCCCCGTCCCCTCTCCGCCCCCCCCGTCCCCTCTCCGCCCCCCCCGTCCGCTCTCCGCCCCCCCGTCCCCTCTCCGCCCCCCCGTCCCCTCTCCGCCCCCCCCCGTCCGCTCTCCGCCCCCCCGTCCCCTCTCCGCCCCCCCGTCCGCTCTCCGCCCCCCCGTCCGCTCTCCGCCCCCCCCCGTCCCCTCTCCGCCCCCCCCGTCCCCTCTCCGCCCCCCCGTCCCCTCTCCGCCCCCGTCCCCTCTCCGGCCCCCCTCCCGTCCCCTCTCCGCCCCCCCCCCCGTCCCCTCTCCGCCCCTTGTCCCCAGGAGTGTCCGTGCGGGGAGGTCGAGTGGGAAGGGGTGAGGACAGGAGCGGCGTGGGGGGCCCTGCCCCCTCGGGGTCTCCCCCCACGTCTGGCCCAGGCCCCTGAGTCACTCCTCAGCTGAGCCCAGTCCGGCGCCCCCGGAGCTGCCCGCCGCCGGGCTCTTTACCCTCTCCCAAGCCCAGGCTGTTAGTGCTGAGCGGCCGCCCGGGCCGCCCTGTCTGCTCCCGTCCAGGTCCGTGGCTCAGTGACCACAGAGTCCTCCTATTGTGGCCTGGGAGGCGCTGCGGGGCCAGCAGGGCTTCTGGAAAGTTCTCCGGGCTGGCCGGGAGCGCTTCCGGTTGGGCGGACACCCCACGCCACCCCCAGGACTGGCTGGCGGGGCTCCCCCATTCCTGTCCCACATCGACCCCCCTCGCCTTCCCCCTCCCCGCCCGTCCCCTCCCCCGCCCCGTCCACCCTCACAGCGTGGGCAGCAGCCGGTCACGGGGTGCGTCTCGGGGACTCGGGCCCTCGTAGCTGAGCGGCGAGGCTAGGGGTGCCAGATGGGCCGACATTGGGGGCCCGTGGCCCCCAGAACCCGCCCAGCCCGGCTGGAGGCGGGGGGGGCTCTGTGTACCCCAGTGTCTGCACGCTGGGGTCTGGCTGCTCTGGGGGGACCTGGGCCCCGGGGGCCTGGGCAGCAGGGGCAAGTGCACCCGCCAGCCAGAACCCGGGCCGGAGCCTCCCTGCACTCAGAGCCGCCGTGCACTACCTCGGAGGACACACTCGGACCCGCGCCCCAGACGTGTGTGCAAGTCGACCTGTGTGCAAGCCCGTGGGCGCCCGTGTCCGTGCAAGCACTGGGCACACCGTGAGCGCCCACACAGCCCTCGGTGCCCGCACCCCACACCCCTGCCCGCGCCGTGGGGTCTGGGCACTGGGCCTCCCGGGGGGGCTCCCCGAGCGGCCCCGCCCCCAGGACTTGGTCCCGAGTCCTCTGGGCAGGCGGACGGCGGATGCCCGCCTCCCAGCGGCTGGACGGGCCTGCCCCTCGCTCCCGTCCTGCAGGCGGGGGTTCGGGCGTCACCCTCAGTCCTGCCTCCGCCCCCTCAGCTCCCTGGGCCTGGCTCGGGCCGCCCTCCCTCGTGTTCTGGGGAGACCCAGGGACGGCGGGGTGCGGGGTCCCCAGTCCCAGGCAGGCTGCGGGGGCTGTGGGGGGCCTGAGCAGGTGTGAGCAGGAGGCGGGAGCCGCACAGGGACGCCGAGGGGCCGGTGCCGCAGCCCATCGGGCTCCCGAGCGGCCCCCCATCTCCCAAGGCGTTTACCCCATTTCCCAGCTTCCTCGCTCCGCTGCCGCTCCCCGTCCGTCCCTCCGTCCCTCCGTCCACTCCTCCCCTCTGCCCCAGCCTGGGGCGTGGCGACCACCCCGGCCACCCACCCCGCCCCCACTCGGTGCCAGCGGCCCTGGGCAGAGGCTGGGCTCTGTGGCCACTGAGATTCCTGGGGTCAGGGCGTCCTGCTGGCTCCCCCGCTGGGTGGCTGCATCGCTGGGTGGCTGTCCCTGTGGGGTTGCGGGCCGGCCTCGGGGCGTGGGACAGGCCGGCCCCGGGGTGGGGCGGGCGGGGAGCCGGCTGCGGTGTCAGCAGGCCTCCCGGGCGCTGGCTTCCGGAGCGGTTTTCTCAGCCAGCCCGGGGCCCGGGCCAGGCCTCCCCCGCGGTCCCGGGCAGAGCCAGGCGGGCTGGGCGGCCGGCGGGGCCGAGGCTCCCGGGAGGGCCCCCTCGCCGGGGCCGGGCCTCCCTGCGCTCGGCCCTTCCCCAGGTCTCTGAGCGGCGCCGTCCCCCGGGAGGGCAGAGGGACAGCCTGGGGGCCAGGCGGGGGGGCCGGGCTGCACAGGGCCCTGGAGCAGGGGCCTCGCTCGAACCCGGCCCGGGAGCCCCGGCGGACGACGCCCCGTTCCCTCAGCCGCTGGCACACACCCCCTGGACGAAGGTGTCAGGTTGGCACGGGTCTGTGAGCCCCGTGCAGACCAGCGCGCCCGTCCCACCCGCTGGGCAGCTCCCACCGCCTGGCAGTGACCACGGCGCTGGGCTCGGACGGAGCCAGAGGAAGCCGCCTGCAGCCCGGTTCCCAGCCAGCCCTGGCCCCGGCCCAGGCCGCTCTGCTCAGCTCCGTCTGGGCCGGCTGCTGGGCGGCGGGCGGCGCTGGGAGGTGGCAGCCAGGCCTGCGTGGCTGCTGGCTGGCACGGTGCCACCGGCAGGCTCCTCCGAGGGAGTGACCGCGGGAACCAGCATCCCCTCTGACACGCCCCGAACCCCCAAGCAGGGCCTTCCCTGCTCCCAGCTCCGGCCCCGGGCGGGCGAGCAGAGCGCTGGGGCTGGTGCAGGCCTGGGCGGGGAGGGGCTCAGAGCTGGCGCCCTGCCCGCTGGCCGGGCGCCCGCTGAGAGCCGCTGAGCGTCCTGTGGTGACCACGGGGAGGGCAGTACCAGTGTGACGAGTAGAAAGAGGAGCGGGGACCCCCATGATGGCCCAGCCAGAGGCAGGGGCGCCTACAGGGTCCAGGGAGCCCAGGGGCAGCGGGGGGCTGGGCCTGGGGCCCAGGGGAGGCGCCCTGAGAGGGACAGGCCAGTGTGGGGTCTCCGGCCATGGGTGTGTCCCCCATGCAGCAGGGCACCCTTCCCGACGGCGTCCGAACAGGGAACCCCTGAGAGTTTAGGGGTTCGGCCAGGTCGGGCGGCCTGGGGGCTGGCTGTGGGGACTCCGCGGGGGCGGCTCCGGCCTCGGTGCTCTGGATCCAGGGCGGGGGGCGGGGGGCCCTGTGGGAGCGCCCGCCCGGGTGTGGGAGCGCCCGCCGTGCAGGGTTCTCAGGCCGAGCGGCTGGAGAATCTTATCCAGACCCGCTGCTGGCCCGGCTGCCCGCTGTCCGGGGGCCGGGGGCGAGGGCGGGAGGCCTGGGGACCGCCCGGGCGGGGCAGGAAGGGCCTGGCTCACCCCACAGGCATGTCCCCCGCGCCCGCCCCCGCTGGGAGCAGCATCCCGCCCGCTGGCCGTGCCTGTGGTCTGGCCGCGGCCCAGGCCGCCGAGCCTGTGGGCCGGGAAGTCCCTGGCTCCGGGGCCCCCGCCCCCGCCCGGGTCCCCCAGGACTGCTGCAGCCTGACCGCCGGGGCCGGTCACAGGCCGTCCTGCAGCCCCGGGAGCCAGGAGGCCCGTCCACACGCCCTTCACAGGCTCGGGGCCGAGGGCTCGAGGGGCCGAGGCGGGAAGCTGGGGTCCCGGCGGGGCAGCCCTCCCGCTCCCCGGCTTGGCCTCCGCCTCTGCTGAGTCACCCCGAGTCTGGGAAGCTCCCCGGGCCGCGGGCTGAGGAGGCTCACAGACCACGATTCCCTGCCTCCCCCCGGCCGGGCCCGGAAACAGCGGCCCCATCTCACCAAGGCCCGGCCTGCAGCCTCCAGACCCGGCCCCCCTCCACCCCGACCGGTTCCCCCACCTCGACAGGCCCCCCTACCCCGACCGGTTCCCCCACCCCGACAGGCCCCCCCCACACCCCGACAGGCCCCCCCCCGACTGCCCCCCCCGACCGGCCCCCCCCCGACCGGCCCCCCCACCCCGACAGGCTTCCCCCACCCCGACCGGCCCCCCCACACCCCGACTGGCTCCCCCCACCCCGACCAGCCCCCCCCACATCCCGACAGGCCCCCCCCACACCCTGACTGGCCCCCCCCACCCTGACAGGCCCCCCCCCGACCGGTTCCCCCCCCCGACTGGCCCCCCCACCCTGACCGGCCCCCCCACCCCGACCGGCTTCCCCCACCCCGACAGGCCTCCCCCACCCCGACCAGCCCCCCTACACCCCGACCAAACCCTCTCCACCCCGACCGGCCCCCCCCACCCCGACCGGCCCCCCTCACCCTGACCGGACCCCACACCCTGAACGGCCCCCCCAAACCCGGAACGACCCTGCCCACATTCCCAGAGGGCCCAGCACAGCCCAGGACCACCCCCCCTTGTCGCCTGTCTCCATGGAAACCCGGCAGGCCTGCTCAGCTTGGCCTGGGACACAGGCCTTGGGCAGAGAGGGGGCCTGGTGCAGGGGGAGGGGTGTGGAGAGCTGGGCGGTGGAGAGCTTGGGGGGGGGGCAACTGACAAAGGGGGGCTGTGAAGGCAAATCCCTACACCTCCACCCGGCCCCTCCCACCCGGCCCCTCCCACCACCAGGCTTCTCCAATCCTCTCTTGCCTGCCTCAGTTTCTCCTCTTGCCCACCTGCCTGAAGCTGTGGAGAGCTTCGGCCCGCCGTGGGGAAGGCCCCGGTGCCCCGGGGCAGGGCGGGTCTGGGTGCCGTGGCCTGGCCTTCCCGGGATCCAGGGCACGGCACGGGGGGTGCGGGCAAGAGGCCTGGAGCCCGGGGCTCGCGCCCAGAGACCTGCCGGGACGGGCACCGGGGGGCCAGGGTGCGGGCAGTGCCCTCGCAGGTTTGTGCAGTGACGGGAGCACTGGGGCCTCCAGACCCTGCGCCTGGCTGTCGGGTCCGAGGGCCAGCGTCTCCGTCGCCGCCTGGATGTCTGAGGCTAAAACCCCGGACCTGGGGGCTCCCGGGCGCCCTGCCAGCTGACCTCGCCCTGTGCCCACAGCCAGCAGCCGCCTGATGGGCACCGCCCCGGCCTCCTCCTTCATGGGCAGCTTCCTCTCCGGCGGCCTGGGCTCCGCCGCCGCCTCGCACCCCAGCGGCCCCGCGCCCGCGCCCGCGGAGCAGGCCTACCGCGGCGCCCACCCGGCCGCCCCCCAGCTCTGGTTCTCCCACTCCCACGAGGGTAAGTGGCAGCCGGTGCCCCTCGGTGCTGGGCCCGGAGCCGTCGGCGGGAACGAGGGGCCCCGGGCAGGGTCCCGCCAGAGGTGCAGGCAAATGTGGGGGGCAGGAGGGTCCGGAGTGAGCACGTGGGCACAGCTGCCCGGCCAGCCTGGCTGCCCTCGAGCCCGAGGCCTCGGGAGGCACCGGCCCCAGGTGTGGTGGCCGGGAGGGAGGCAGGAGGGGGCCGGGAGGGAGGCTGGAGGGAGGAGGAGGGAGGAGGCTGTGAGGGAGGAGGAGGGAGGCCGGGGAGGAGGGAGGCCGGGGAGGAGGGAGGGAGGAAGAGGGAGGCCGGAGGAGGGAGGCCGGGGAGACTGGGAGGGAGGAGGAGGGAGGCTGGGGAGGAGGGAGGGAGGAGGAGGGAGGCTGTGGCCCCGGCCCGGCCTACCACACAGTCCCCCCGCCCAGGCTCCCGGGGGACACAGCGGGCGCACAGGAGGGGCCTCCTGAGCACACGTGGCTGAAGGCCGCTCCGGACTTGGGGCCCGGCTCCCGCGTCCGCTCCGCCCGTGGCCTGTGCCGTGGTGGTGGCCTGGGCCTCGGTGGCCGCTGTCCGCCGGCCGCTCGGCCCGCGGCGCGGGGAGGGTTAAGCGCGGCCGGCACGCAGAGCGGGACTGGCAGCTGGCGCGGGCACAGAGGGCTCTGCTCCTGGCACCGGCCTCTGTAACTCAATGACGGCCACGGCGGGCGCGTGTGTGCCGAGCTCGGGCCTGCGCGCCGGCCGCGTGCTCCCGGCGGAGATTAGCGCCGGGCAGAGGCCGCCGTGAACTGCCGGCTCCGAGCCCCTCTTCCTGCAGGGCCTGGCCGGGACCCCGCTCTGCCCACTGCCCAGCCTGCACCACGGGAGCCCCGGGTAATTCGGGGGTTGGGTCTGGGCCCTGCTTCTCCCGGCCCTTCCGCCCTCTGCCCGTGTCACACGCCCGCCCACCACCAGCAAGGCATCTGGCTCCCAGGCGTCCGCGGAGGCGGGGGGGGGGGGGGGGGGAGGAAAGGGGGGGAGTAGGGATGGGGGAGGAGGTGGGAGAGGGGGGGCTGCGTGTCAGGGAGCTGGCAGGGAGGCCTGTGGCAGCCGTGGGGCCACCTCAACCGAAATAACAGCCACCACCTGTCCCTGGCCCAGCGCAGGCCTGCGGCCGGCTGCCTCAGTTTCCCCTCCTTGCACATGCTGCCCGCAGGGCCCGGGGCCTCGGGCGGGTGGCGGTTTGTGGGCAGCACCACCTGCCCTCGGGGGGCGCGGAGGGTGGAGGCACCGCAGACGCCCACCGCCTCCCGCCCTGACTTCCCCCGAGCACCCGCAGCCAGCCCGCCCGCGGGGGGTGCCCCCTGGGGGGGGTCGGGGGGCACAGGATAGGGAGCTGCCTCCCAGGCGCCAGGAAGGGACTTGGGGGTGAGTGTGGGTCGCATTGAGGTCGGCGTGAGTGTGCATGTGCACGTGTGCGTGTACGTTCTGGGCCACGCAAACACACGCCCCTCGGCCTGGCCTCTGGGGTCTCCCTCCAGTGAAGCTGCGCCCGGGACTCCTGCAGGGGGTCCCCGTCTGCACCCTGCCCGGCCGCAGCCCGCCTCCACGCGGGGAGCGGGGAGCGGGGAGCGGGCGGGCGGGCGGGCAGCGGTGCTGGCGGGCGGCCCTGGCTCCGTGCCCGGCTGCTCCGTGACGGTGCCGGCCGGGTCCCCGCGCGCAGGGGCCTGTGTCTCTGCCGGGCAGGGCACGCCCGAGTCCGGCTCACCCTCAGGTCCTCTCCTCGCTCCGGCCGGGGGGGGGCGGCCTGTGTCCCCCCTCCAGGCTGCCGTTTGGGGGGACTCTGCCTTTCCTGGGCGGTTGGGGGCAGGGGAGCAGCTGGGGCGCGGGGCGCGGCCTGAACATCTGGCCGAGCCTGGGTGTGTCCCCGCCCCGCCTCCCCACGGGAGGTGCTGCCCAGGCCGCGCTCCCCTCGGGCTTGGGGAGCGGATGCGGCCCCCGGGGTGGGGAGCCGGCGTCCGGCTGCCGTGGGTTGGACGGGGCGGGGGACACGGCACAGCTGGTCCTGTTGTCCGGAGCCGGCCGCTCCTGTGTGCCCGCGGCCCCTCCCATCGGCATCCTCCCCCAGCGGGAAGGTGCCGCCCGCTCCTGCACCCCAGCCCTGCCTGCCCGTCCCCGTGCACCAGGCGGGCGGCCGGCCCAGGGGAAGGGGATGCCTCACAGGGACAGACCCCAGCTCCCTTCCCCACATTCTTCCTGACCTCTGACCCCTCCTGCCCGGGCCCCTGCTGTGCCCGCCTGCCGCCTTCTTGTGGTCCCAGCCCCCCGTCTCCCCTCCAGCTGGTGGCCCTGACCCTGCTTCACGCTGGCGTCCGTCCTGACCACCGTGGGCCCAGCACCCAGCAGGGGCTCCGCCAGCCCCGCCCGGCCTGGGTGCTGGGCTGCGGGCGCCCAGAGGCAGGCCCGGGCCCGTCAGGGCCTGGCACCCCGAGCCCGTTTCCCCGTCTGCACACCACACTCAGCGGAACAGCCGCTCAGACCCTCCGTGACGCAGGCCAGCCCATGCCACACGGAGGGCCTTGAACCCTGCCCAGGCCGTGCCCTGGCTGTCCCTGTCGGCTGTGAGCGGGCCCTGGGCCTGGCGGGGGGAAGGGGGGGCGTCACTGCACAGCTGTGGCTGCCAGGCTGTTCCCGTCTCCGAGTCCCTGGGGGGACCCCCCCCCGGGCACCAAGACCTGCGCAGCCTGGATGTTCGGACGCGGTGTGGTGCCCACAGGAGGGCGGGGCGCCCTGGCTGTCGGCTGCCGGGTGGGGTGTTGGTGAAGGGCTGGGGGCACCCCAGCTTGCCCTGGCCTCTGAGGGTGCAGCGTGTCCGCTCTGCCGGGCGGCTCCTCGGGAGTGTGTGCCAGGAGCCGGGGCGGCGGGGCTCTGATGGCGGGCAGGCTGCCGGGCCCTGGTTCTCGGGGCACCGCCCCTGCCCTTGGCCGGGCACACATGCCAGGCCCTGCCCCCGGGCCTGGGGCAGCCTGTGCCCCTGTGCCCCCCACCCCGCCATCACAGCCGAGCCCCCGCTTCGAAAGGCCCAGCTGGGGGCCCTGAGGGGCTGTCACAGCCGAGCCAGAAAAGGGACCCCCCTCGGCACCCTCACACTTTGAAAGGTGGGAGACTTGGGGTCCGAGCCCCAAGGGCTGGAATTGGGGAGCTTGGCCAAGAACCGGGGACACGGGAGGAGCCTGAGAGCAGGGATGGTGGGCGTCCTGGCCGCCCCCCCACTTCCTGAGCTGTGGGTGCACCCAGGACCCTCCCCACCTCATCGGGCGTCACTGTCCCCCCAGGCTGTGCACCAGGCAGCCACGGGCGCCCGAGGGAAGGGGTGTGGAGACCGGTCAGGCGGTTTGGGGCCGGAGTGGCCCAGGCAGGGTGTCCTCGGGGTCTCTGTGGGGTTGTGGGGGGAGGGCGGGCGGGGGAAGGAAGGTGGGAAGGTCCGTGTGGAGCTGAGGCGGCAGGGGCCACGGCTCAGCCAGGCATGCAGGAGCCGCCCTCAGGCCCTGGGCTGGGCTGTGACAGTGGGGAGAACTTGCTAGCAATTTGAGCCTCGGTATCTGTGCGGTCACCCCCAGGGAGGGGCCTCCACGCGGGCCTGGGCCCCCTCAGAGCTTGTGGGGTCCCTGGGGGTGTGGGGGACTACAGGGCAGTAGCCCCCGGCCCTGTGTCCTCTCCCTCCCCCAAGGGGCTCCCCTTTCCTCCAGAGCAGCCCCTCAAAGAGCCTGGCTTCTCCCGGCTTCTGGTCCGCGAACAGCTGCTCTGATTCATAAAAACCATTCTATTTCCTCCCACTCAGGGGCTTTCTGTGGCCAGCGGGTGGGGGGTCTTCTCTCTGCCGCCCCAAGTCCCGCCCCCCACCCCGCCATCGCCCCCTGGGGTGCCCGGGCGGGCGGGCCCTCGGCCGCAGCCGGAGGGGCCCTGGCTGTCCGCCGGCTCCTGGGGGACGTCCCGCTCGGGGTCAGGGTGGGAGCAGAGGCAGGGCCGCCCTCTGCCCGGAGGTTCCGCCCAGCTGGACCTGCCCCCGGCAGTGGGCGGCCGGGCCTCCGGGGTCGGGGCGCCTGGGAAAGGCGGTCTGGGAGGAGGAGTTTACAGGCTCCTGTTCACCACAGCGAGGCCGTAAACCGCTCAACAGCGCCCGGTAAGGGCAGCTGCCGGCCCGGCCCTCCCCTCACAGGCCGAGACCGGCCCCCGCCCCCGCCCCTCCTGTCAGGCCTTCCGGGAGCCGCGTCTGAGCCAGGAAACATCTGCTCCAGATGTGTCTCCGCACACTGACCAGGCCGGGCCGTGGGAACGGGCTGAGGGACAGGCCGGTGGCACGGCGCCCTCCCGGCTCGGACGGCCTCCAGCCCCTGCGGTCTCCCGGGTGGTGCCCCCGCTCCGGGGGACCCGGGACGCTTGGGGGGGGGCAGGAGGGGCGGCCACACCTCGGACCCCCGCCGCGGCCCAGGCGGACGGCGAGACCCGCACCAGCCCCGTTAGACGTCTGACCACTTCCTACTCAGAGCTCTGCCCCCGAGCCGACCACGGTGCCGTGCCCACTGCCCCTGGCAGCCAGAGGTCCAGCCACCCCACCTCCTTCCAGCGGCCTCAGCGCCCGCCCCAGGGCACCGGCCCGAGGGCGTGCGACCTGGACGCCTGACTCCCGGGGGAGTTTCTCAGACTGAGCTCCGAGGCTGGGAGCCTCCAGGTGTCACAGGGCAGAGGGGTTCCGTCAAAAACGTCGTTTGGGAACCAGAGCTCATGAGCAAGATGTCAGCTCTGCCTGGGCGCCGGCACCCCTGCTCCCGGCGGGGCTCACGGCTCCCTCTTTCCGAGACCTGGCCCTCCCACCCCTCCCTCTCCCAGCCCCGGGACCGGCCCCGGGGAACCAGAGGCGGCCCGAAGCTGGGGCCCGACGGTCCTGGGACAGCGTGAGGCCCTGTTTTCCACGGGGAGATGCTCAGAGCGTGAGCGGGGGCCGAGGTCCAGGTGGCCGGGGGCTCTGGGCCCCGGCAGGTAGTCACCCCTCCCCCGCCTGGCCGGCCTGGCCGAGCTGGTTCTGGCTGGACTCGGAGGTGCCAGGGAGCGTCTTGGGCTGGAGGCAACGCCCGGGGGTGATGCCACCCCTGCCGGGGGCCAGCACCCTTTGCTGACCTCACGCTGAGGAGGCCGGCAGGGGAGAGCCCCGTGCTCGGGCCCCCAGCAAGGTGGGTGCTTGGCACCGCCCCCCGAGCCAGCCCCGGTGTGGCTGGGAAGCCGCCCCGGTGTGGCCGGCGGTGCTGGGAGGGTGGCCGGGCTGGGAGGACCTCTGCAGGCCGGCGTCCCCTCCCCCGAGCCCTTTGGCCGCTCCGCTGGGGGCTGCGCTGAGAGAAGGGGGGTCCTGTGCACGCCCCCTGTCGGCAGTCCAGGGGGCTGCACGGAGGACTGAGGTGTGGAGTCAGTGGGATGTGCTGATGGTCCATGGCCCTCGGCGGCTGCTCTCGGGGCTCCGCGGGGTGTCCCTGGGACAGGGCAGGGTGGGCCGAGGGCTGGAGGTGCCTCTGCAGCCGTGCCTTTGCTTCTCCAGCTCCAGGGTACCCCAGATTTTCGGGGAGCCTGGCATCCACCTTCCTACCCATGAGCCACTTGGATCACCATGGGAACAGCAACGTTCTCTATGGACAACACCGTTTCTATGGAGCCCAGAAAGGCAGGTGCCGGCGGGGGGGCTCGTGGGAACTGGGGCGCAGGCCTCCTGGGGGAGGGGGGCTGGCCAGCCTGGTGCATCCACCCCCCTGGGTCTGGAGATGGGGGGTGGGCCTGAGAAGCAGGACCCAGCCAGGTGCAGGTTCTGCTGGCCTGACAGGGCGCACAGCTGTGCGGTCTGAGCCTCTCCCCTTCCTCGCCCTGAGGGGGCGCCCGGCTCCTTCCGCACCCCGCCTTGCCCTGCAGCCCAGCCCAGGGCCTCAGGGGCGCCAGGGCAGTGGGAGGCCTGCACATCCTGCCTCAGTGGGTGGTACAAGGTCCCATCCCACAGCAGGGCCTGCAGTCAGACAGGCTGCAAAGGTGCACGTGTGTGCACATGCTTGCACGTATATGTGCATGTGTGTGCTGGGTGCATCGTTGCTCCAGCAGACAGAGGAGGATCTTTCCCCCGTTGGCAGGAGGGCCTCCGGAGGGGTCTCTGGAGGGGGGTGCTGAGGAGAGGGCCTTCCTGGTGGAACCGGAGCTGGAGGGGCTGGGGGACCTAGCTCACACGTGAAAATGCCTCGAGGCTGTGCCCCATCCAGGAGTCTGAAGCGGGGACAGGGGTGGGAGCCTTTTAGGAAGCTCTCCCTGGCAGTGCCCGAGGGGGAGGCAGGGCGGCCGTGGGGTGGTTACTGCGTTCTAGGTGACGGTGGACTTAGGAGGGACACGGGGCCTCCTGTCCTGTGAGGGGGGGGCTCCTAGGTGCCCCATTCACGCCGCTGTCCGGGGGCGCCGGCTTCCATGCAGGGGGCGGCCTTCCCGGGGGCATCGCCACCTCCAGGCCTGGCCCGGCAGCGAAGGCCTTGGCCCTGCCCAGCCCAGGGCCGGCCGCTGGGTTGGTGCAGAGAAGGCCCTGCCGGCAGGAGGGCCAGGAAGCTCCCCTCCCCGCCCCACCCCGCCCGCCCACCCCGGGTGGACAGATGCAGACCCTCCTGCTGCCGGCAGCTGGGCCCCCACACTCCCACCCGCCCCTGTGCTGCCGTGTCCAGTGTGTCAGGCCACAGAGAAGCAGCTGGCGGCTGGCCTGGCCCCTGGGCCCGCAGCCTCCGTGCGGTGCCGGGCGCCCTCCAGCCGCTCAGGTCTGGGTCCGCTCGGGCCTTGCCGCGGCTGCTGCTTCCACTCAGCAGGAAGGTGACTGGGAACGGACACAGCTGGGCAGCGTGGCCGGCCCCTCCTGTGCCGGCTCCCGGCTGCTTGCTCTCGGGCTCCAGGCTGTCCACGCTGCCTGTGCCCCCCCGGCCCCCCCAGGTCCCCCAGACAGGACCCTGGCCCCGGCGTGGGGAGGCCCAGAGAGCGAGCCCGGCAGGAAGGCCCTGGCCCAGCACGGAGCCCAGGGCACACCCACCAGCCACCAGGACGGGTGGTCCGGGCACTGCGAGGGCTGGAAGCCAAGGGTGGCGGGAGGGGTCGGCCAGCTGGGACCATTGTCCTGATTCCCTTCGTTAAAAACCACCACCCTGTGCGGCCGGCGGGCGCAGGGCTGAGCGTCCACCCAGGAACCAGGAGGTCAGGGTTCGGCTCCCAGTCAGGGCACAGGCCCGGGTGGCGGGCTTATTCCCAAGTGAGGGGCGTGCAGGAGGCAGCCGGTGCAGGACTCTCTCTCATCGTGGATGTTTCTCTCTCTCTCCCCCTCTCCCTTCTCTCTGACGTTCATAAAAAATATGTGTAAAAGTTAAAATATGTATATAATAAAAATGGTCACCCAGTTTCCCAGCCTGAGGTACCCCGTCGTGATGAAGGGCAGTGGGGGCCTCAGGAGGTCCTGACCCTGTCTCCCCTGGGCCTCCCTTCCCCCCGGCCTTCACCCTCCCCAGGCCTAACTCCCCGGCTGGGCACCTGGCTTGGCACCGGGCTCTGGTTACACGGCACCACCTGCCGGGGCACAGCCACCCGCTCGCCTCAGCACAGGGTCCTGATGGGCTTGTGAAGGTCCCCCTCCCGCCACACTACCCGGCTCCGGGGGACGCCTCTGCCCCCTGCCCCTGCCCCCCTTCCCGAACCCCCCGGGCCCTGAGCCGCACAGAGGCCTGGGCATTCCCAGCGCCCGCCTCCCGGGGGCTGGACGTACGTCAGAACCTTGGGGGCCATGGGGAGGGTGAACACGTGAACGTGCTCAATGCCACGAGCGGCCACTGGACACCCTGAGGTGAGAAGGGCCAGGTTCCCGCTGCCTTCCCGTGTGAAGGCGGGGTCCCTGCCAGCGGCCACGGGGAGGCCCGGGCACCCGCCGGGGGCCCCACCCCCGCGCCCCGTGACCCGGGCTCTCTCCCCCGCAGATAACTTCTACCTGCGCAACCTGCCCCCGCAGCCCGCGCTGCTGCCCGCCAACCACAGCTTCCCCGCCGTGGCCCGCGCCCCCGCCCGCCCGCTGGGCTCCTGCAGCCGCGACCGGGCCGAGGCGCCCGCCCTGCAGAAGGGCACCAAGGACTTCGACCGCTTCCCGCTGGGCAAGGACAAGGCGGGCAAGGCGCTGGAGGCCAAGGAGCGGGCGCCCGAGGAGGACGGCGCGGGGCACCGGCTGGGGCTGCCCCTGCCCGCCGACGGGCCCTGCCGGGAGGGCGCGGCCCGGGGCGCCTGCGAGGGCCGCCCCAAGCCCCTGGCCTCCTGCCTCCTCAACGCCAAGGTGCTCAACGGCGAGGGCAGCAAGGCCGCGCTGGCCAGCTGTGCGGGCGGCGGGGCGCTGGTGCGGCCCGGCCTGGCCCCCGGGCGCTGCCCCAAGGAGGCGGCGGGGCCCGCGGAGCCAGGGCAGGCCTTCGGCGAGTGCCTGGAGCGGCGGCAGGCACTGCACCACGCGGCCTACACGGTGCCCTCCGGCCTGCCCGCCGGGCCGCCCCCCGCCCTCGGCACGGCCCCCGGCTCCTTCCCCTGCCTGCAGCTGCACGCCGGTCCCGACGGGCTCTGCCCGCTGCAGGACCAGGCCCCCCGGGACCTGAAGGCCGGCGGGCCCACCCTCGTGCCTTCTGGGGGCCACCTGGCCGACAAGGCCCGCTCCTTCCCCGCGGCGGAGGCCTGCGCGGTGGCCGGCGAGGGCAAGGACCGGCACCCGGACGGGGCCCTGGCGCCCGACCACGCCGTGCACTACGGCGTCTCCTACGCCCACGCCAAGGCTGAGCGGCGGCCCGGGGCCTTCGAGGCGGCCCTGAACCCCCGGCGGAAGGGCCTGGAGTACCTGCGCGGCGCCGGCCCCGAGGCCGCCTTCCCCGGGCTCCCCGCGGGCGCGCTGGACAAGGGCGGCTACTTGGAGCTGCCCGCCCCCGCCCAGGACTGCGTGCGGCCGGCCCTCCCGGACCCCGTGGGCGGGAAGGCCGCCCAGGCCTGCTGCACTTTAGACAAGGCCGCTGGCAAGGAGCCACCCCCCGGGCCCCCTGCAGCCCAGAAGGTGGCCCGGGTCCGGCACCAGCAGCACCTGGTGGCCCCCGAGATGGAGCTGGCGGGCGGCGGGGCCGATGCCAAGCGCAAGTCCCTGGAGCTGGCCTCTCTGGGCTACGGGGGGCCCCAGCTGTCCCCGTGGGGCGTCCAGTCGGGCCAGGGCACCCCCATGGCCGTCGGCGAGGAGCGTAAGGCTGGCAGCGGCTACCTGGACCCCTTTGGGGGCCTCCCGCAGGCGGCCCTCCGGCCCCAGGACCTGCCCGCGCCGCCCGACGAGGTCTCGGCCATGAAGAACCTGCTCAAGTACAGCAACCAGGCGCTGGTCGCCGGGCAGAAGGCGCCCTTCGTGGGCCTGGGCGGCTTCAAGGCCAGCTGCGCCCAGCAGGACGCCAAGTTCCCGGCCGCCAAGGGCCCGGGCCAGGCCGGCGAGGTGGAGAGGCCCGACTGCGCCCGCAGCCGGGAGCACGAGGCCCCGCACGGCGACGGGGAGGTGCGGCAGCCCCCGGTGGGCATCGCCGTGGCCCTGGCCCGGCAGAAGGACACGGGGAGCCGGCAGGACGTGGCCTACGGCGCCAACCCCGGGCGGCAGAGCCGGGCAGCCCCCGCCCTCAAAGGTACAGCCGTCCGCGGAGGGGGGTGAGGAGGGGAGCACGATGCTGATGCCCTCCCAGGGCTCCGGGGACCCCACCCAGGAGCCCGGTCCCCCCACCTTCATCCGCTCTGCCTCTCCGCCCTGCAGCTGGCGGCGGGGCCCGCTCCGTCCACGCGCTGGACCTGGAGGCCGAGGAGGAGCGGCGCCTGTGCGAGGACCGCCTGGGGCTGGCCGGCCGCGAGCTGCTGCTGCAGTAAGCCCCGCCCCCGGACAGGCCCCGCCCCTCCCCGGATAGGCTCCACCCCCGGTCCCGGCCATGCTCCAAGCCCTGCCCCGATACGCCACACCATGCCCGGCCACGCCCACGGCCCGACTAGACCCGGCCCCTAGTGCCCGGCCCCGCCCTGGGCTCACGGCCAGGGGTCTGGTTTGGTGGCCACGGGGGTGCCCGTTCACGTGGGGGGCGCTCTGCTAAGCCCCCGGCCCTGAGCCGGACTCCCCGAGTCCCCTCCCCACTCCCTCGGACGCTGATGGCCCGGGGGGGGGTGAGGGAGGGGGGCGGGGGGGGCGGGACCCGTGGCCAGCAGCTGCCCTGAGCCCTCGCCGCCTCCTGCTGTGCAGGGACAACAAGGACCTCATGGAGTTCAGCCGGATGCACCCGTCCGGCGGCTGCCCCCGCGACCTGGCCCCTCACCTCATGCTGGCCGGCGGCTCCTCCCTGCAGAGCAGCCAGCTGGGCGGGGACCCGGCCGCCCACCCCCACCCCGCCCACGCCCCGTGGCTGCCCCGCACCCGCAGCCCCTCCTTGTGGATGGGGGGCCATTCCTACGGTCAGTCCGAGGGCAGGAGGAGCCCGGGGGGTGTGGGGCCCGGCTGGCCTGGGCTCGTGCCCACGACCTGGTGTGGGGGGCCTGTGACACGCCGCCCGGCACCCTCTGACCGCTGCGCCGTCTCCCCAGGCCTGGGGCACCCGGCCCTGCACCAGAACCTGCCCCCCGGCTTCCCTGCCTCGGTGCCCAGCTCCATGCCCTCAGTCTTCCCCCTGCCCCAGGACACCCCCGCCCAGCTGGTCCTCCTGCCCTCCGAGCCCACGCCCCACAGCGCCCCCCACGCGCTAGGTAAGGGCGTGCGGGCGAGGCCGCTGGCGTGTGGGGTGTGGGGAGCTGGTCTGAGAAGGGAGCAGTCTCCGCAGGGGGGTGGTGACGGGAGTGGGGGTGCAGTGGGTGGGCTGGGCGCGAGGAGTGGAAAGGCAAGGGACGCAGCCCGCGCCCCTCCCTGTGCCTGACGGCTCCCGCCCTGCCCGCAGCCGACGTCATGGACCAGGCCTCGCTGTGGCCCCCCATGTACGGGGGCCGGGGCCCCGCCTCCCACATGCAGCACCCGGGCCAGCTCCCCGTGTACTCGCGGCCCCAGTTCCTGCGGCAGCGGGAGCTCTACGCCCTGCAGCACCCGGCGCAGCACCCGGCTCAGCACCAACAGCCCCAGCCCCCGCCCCCGCCGCGGGCCGCCCAGCTCCAGGTACCGCCCGGGCCACGGCGGGGCTCCGTCCGGCTCCCCTTCCCGCTGCAGCCGGCCTGAGCTCTCCCCTCCCCGCAGCGGAGGCCTGGGGACCACCCTCTGGAGCTGGAGGAGCCGGCCCCCGAGAAGGCCCTGAAGTCCACCCACAAGCCAGTTGCCTTAACCCCCTCGGCCAAGGGCGCCCCCTCGCCCGCCGCCGCAGGCTCCGCCAGGCTGCCCCCCTGCTGCCACTCGCCCAGCTCGAAGCCCCCCGCCAGCTGCCCCCCGCTGCTGCCACAGCCCGGCGCCCCCTGCACTTTATCCGCCTGCCCTGGCGGCAGCCCCAGGCCCGGCGCCCGGCTGCCCCGCACGGAGGACAGGAGCGGGGAGGGCCGGCCGGTGGGAGCCAACCTCAGCACGGCGGAGCCAGGTGAGAACCGTGCTCTGCTCCGGCCTCTCCCCCACTCCACTGCCCCTCCCCGCACCCCCTGGGCAGAGGTGAATCCGGCAGTGTGCTCACCGGCCCGGCCCCTGGCCTCTCTCTCTCTTGCTCCCTGCCCACAGTCCTCCGGGGGGCGGGGGGGCTGTGGAAGGAGCAGGGGTCCCTGCCATCTCCTGAAAACCCCAGGCAGAGGGGGCAGGAACCAGAAGCCGGGCCTGCGGGCACAGGGCCGCACGGGCCTGTCCCAGCCCCCGGCTCCGGCTCAGGCCCTCAGGCCGGCTTGGCCTGTGAGGAGGGTTCTGGCCGCCCGCCTGCCAGCGCCCCAGGCGATCCCATTCTCTCTGAATTGGCTGTGAGTTTACACTGGAAACTCCGTGGCGAACATAAAAGCGTCCCAATTCCACAATAAGGAGACGGAGCCAGCCGAGGTTGTCGGTTTTTTTAGGCTTTTTTCCCTTTTTTTCTGCAGTTAATGGGGCGTGAGGCCTCTGACAGGCAGCACGCTCTGGTTCAGGGGGAGCCCTGGCGAGCATCCCGTCCAGCAGCCCTCCCTTCCCCTCAGCCACACCGCCCGGGCGAGGGGGCCCCCGACCCCTCCGCACCCCCATAACTGTTCCCGCGTCTGCCCCTCCCGCCCAGCGGGGTCCGCCCCCGGCCGCAGCAGCCCCCTGAGGACACCCCTCTTTTGCAGAGCTGCCTCCTGGACACACGTGCCCTGCAGCCGGCTCGGGCTTCTCCCTGCCCCCCCGCGTGCACTCATCGGACCTCGTGGACGCCAAAACTATGCAAAGCCCCGCCCCCCGGGCCCCGCCGGCGCCCTCCGGGATGCCCGCGTCTGGGGAGCCCTCCTGCCGCAGCCCCCGCAGCCTGGAGGAGCCCGGGCTGCCCTTGGGGGCCAGGGAAGACCCCCAGAACCTTGCTGCTGCCCCCCACCCTGCCGAGCGGGGCCCCCCAGGGAAGGCAGTGGACCCCAGCCCGCTGGAGGGGCTGCAGGAACTGCGATGCGTGGCCCTCCTCCAGGGAGGGGGCCCCGAAGCTACTGGCCCGGCTCATTCTACTCAGGGAGGGGCCCCCGGGAAGAGGACCACAGGGGCGGGGAGCGAGGAGGGGGCGCCAGGGCCCTCACGGGGGGCCGGCCCCCCGGCCCCGGAGCCACAGGCGGGGAGCCCCCGGGCCCCGGACCGGGACCAGCGGGATGCATGGCCGGCGCCCGGGGAGGCGGGCCCCGCAGAGGAGGCCCTGTCTGAGGAGGACGGACTGGAGGAAGGAGAGGAAGAGGGGGGCTGGGGGGTGCCCCCCGACCACGGCCGCCTGCCCCGGGCGCTGCTGGGCCTGGACGCTCTGGTGGCAGCCACCATCGACCTCGGGGACTTGCCTGGCCCAGGCCCGCCAGGCCCTCAGCCCCCCGTGCCCCCCAGCTCAGGGATCCCCGGCCTCGCCCTGCTCGGCGAGCTGGCCGACCTGGACCTCCAGCCTCCACAGCGCGAGCCCGCCCTGCCAGGTGAGCACCGCCCACTGCCCGACCCCGGGGCCCGGAACCAGCCGCAGGCCTGGGCGCCGGGCAGCGGCGGACGGCAGCCAGGGTGGCCGCCAGGGCTGTGTCCCTGGGCCGGGGGAGCGGGGCCCCAGCACTGGTGCGGTGGCCGCTTAGCCGGGAACCGTCAGGAGCAGCGGGGCTTGCAGAGGGAAAGTGGGAGGAACAAGGGGGCGAGGACAGTCTCCACGCCGGCCAGAGCAGTGGGGAAAGGCCAGGTGGGGCCTTGGGACGTGGGGGTGAGGGGTCCGAGCCCCTTCCACATGCCCACATGCCTGCCCCTGCCCCGAGCCCGCCCTCCCCCGGCCCCCAGCCCCCCGGCCGCTGCTGCCGTCCCTGCCCTTCGTGTCTGCGGAGCCGCACCCCTGGGAGGCCCCGGCAGGCTGGGGCAGCTCTCCTGTCTCCCCACCCGATTGGAGAGCTTTGCAGGGAGGTGTCTGGAGTCCACAGGACCCAGGTTCACCCACAGGAGCTTTGCCTGAGGGGGGGACAAAGGGGGGCCGAGGGGCTTCCTGGGACAGGACCCCAAGGGAAGGGGAGACCCTGTGGCCTTTCAGCCCAATTGCGGCCTGCAGAGCCCTGCCGGGTCCACGCCACACGGGGTCCTTGTTCTTCACCTGATGGTGCCTCTGACCCGGTTCCATTTCATGATCCAAGTGTCAGACCTGGGGGCTGGCCCGCACGCACCCTCAAGCTCAGTGCTGCCTGTGTCCCTGGCCCGCTGCCCCCTCCCGCCCCCCCGCCCCCGGAACCAGCCAGCTCCGAGGAGCCAGTCTCCAGGGGGCACCAGAAGCACCGTTTGGGGTGCTGGGGTGCTCACTGCTGCTGGGGTGTCCTGTTCCCGGCTCTCGGAGGGCTGACCCACCTCGGCTTGGGCTCGGACCCTGTGCTGGGTCCCCTCCACCCCTGAGGGCCTGCCCTTCCTGAACGTGGGCCCCACCCCTCATCCTTGGTCTTCGCGTCTCGGGAGCCGTGCAGCCTCGGGGCGCGGGGCCGTGCTGAACAGGCAGCTCTGAGGGGGAGTGTGCCCGCCACCCACACTCCCCCTCCACCCGCAGAGGAGGAGGCCGTGCTGACCTTCAACCTGCAGCGCCTGGCCACGCTGGCCTCGGCCTGGTCCCTGCTGGAGGCCACCGGCCGGGGCAGCCCTCGCCCCGCAGCTCCGCCCCCTGCCACCGGCCCCCGCGGGGCCCCCACGCTCACCCCCCGAATGCAGATCCTCCAGCGCAAGGACACCTGGACCCCCAAGACCAAGCCTGTGAGTGGGCCTGTTCACCCACACCCTGAGCGCCGGCCCGCCGCCCACCGGCCCTGCCTGGGGCCCCGGCGGCTCAGCCCTGTGCCCTGCCCCAGGTGTGCCCCCTGAAGGCCGCCATCGACCGGCTGGACACGCAGGAGGTAGAGCTGCGCGTGCGGCTGGCGGAGCTGCAGAGGCGCTACAAGGAGAAGCAGCGGGAGCTGGCCCGCCTGCAGCGCCGGCGCGACCACGAGTACGCGGGGGGGGGGGGGGGGGGGGCATGGCGCAGCCCAGGCCACTGCCCCGTGGGGGGCGGCGGGGGGGGCATGGCGCAGCCCAGGCTACTGCCCCGTGGGGGGCGGCCAGGTGTACGGGGGGCAGGGGGACCCTGGCCCGGCCTTGCCTCCCTGTGAGGACCAGGCTCCGAGGCCGTCCTGAGGGCCTGCGCCGCCCTGGGCCCCGTAGGGCACAGAGGGCGGGCGCCTCTGACCGCCTCCTGTGGCCGCAGGAGGGACGACAGCTCTCGGAGCCCGGCGCGGCGAGGGCCCGGCCGGCCTCGGAAGCGGAAATACTCGGGCCTGCTGCCCGCCCTGCGTCCGGGGGGCCAGCTGCCCAGGACCGACATCAAGAAAGTCAAGTGAGTCCCGGGGGGTGGGCACCGGGGCCCCTCGGGCCGGGCACCGGGCTGTGGGCACCCCTCTAGCTCCTGACCCCGCACTTCCCTCCCAGAACTCGGGGCCACGGGCCGGCCAGGGGCAGGCCCAGCAGACAGAGCCCAGCAGAGCCCGCCCCCTGCCTCTGGCAGCTTCGGCCCCTGGACACAGCACGCAGCCCCCCTGCCCGCGCCTCCCCCCCCACCGCGCGGCAGGTGTAACAGCCTCTGTCGGCGTATAAAGCCGTCGGTCACGCTGGCACGGCTCGCGCGGCCGCGACGTTATTATCCATTACCGCCCGGCGCGCACTCCCGGCCGCATAATTGTCCTTCCCGGCTACAAATTGCGCTCCCGGCAGGCCCATTTGCATAAATCCTCCGGCTCCTCCGAAGGCGACTGGCGCACGCGTGCGCGCTCGGCATCAATCCTGATGATTTGGTAATAATAGTTAAATCGGCACTAAATGGTTCCTTCAATTAAGACGGAGGCAAAAAATTAATCTCGGGGCTTTATGTCACAAAACATTACCCAGCCCCAGGCTGCCGGCGTGGGGGACGCGCCATATGGCCCAGCCTGCCGTCTCCGCCCCCCGCCCAGGTGTCCCCGCGGGGGCTCCCTCTGAGAGCCAGCCAGAGCCCTGGGGGCTGCCGGCCAGGGGTCCTGCCACGCTGCCCCCTAGCCCGCCTGGCACCACGCCCCCAGCCCTGGTAGCCGGTCCGCACCTTCTCCCCTGACCTGGAACCAGGCCCAGCCGGAGGACAGGGAAGGAACCGGGTCCGGGGCCCACCCTCCCCAAGAACCAGGGCTCCCTCCTGCCCACTCTCCTCCACCCATGGTCAGGCCCTGCCCAGCTGGGCTGAGGCAGGAAGTGGGGGGCTGGGGTCCCAGGGCCAAGGGAGGCTGCAGGCCGGCTTCCTATCTGGCCTGCCCTCTGGGGCGAAAGGGCTGGCCACAGGAGGCCAGGACCCCCATCCCCATCTGTGACTCATCACCATTGCCGCCATGAGGGTGGGGGAGGGGACAGCCAGAGACGCGCCCAGCGCCCCTGGTCCCAGCAGCCGGACGGGTGCCCCGGGCCTCAGCCTTGCCCTGTGTCCAGGTGGAAAGGCTAAGGCAGGACCCGCCTACACAGTGGCCGGGCCGGCGGCAGGGGGATGCTGGGGCAGGTGCCGGGGCCCAGCACAGCCCCCATGCCCTGAGGAGTCCTGGCCGAGAGGAAGTGGGGCCCTCCCCGGACCCCCCGAGGCGCCCGGGTGCCACCAGGGTCTGTGAGGGGCAGCCAGCCGGCGGGGGTGCTCCTCCAGCCTGCGTCCACGCTCCCCTGCCCCCAGGGCGGTGCGGTCCAGCCTGAGCCTGCTGTGCGCCGAGCTCCGGGGCGACGAGGAGCCGGGCAAGAAGCGGAGCCGCCTGGAGAAGGGCGTCTACCTGGGCCTGCAGCCTGGCTCCACGGTGAGGCTGCCGCGCACGGGCGGGGGGCCGGTGTCCGGACAGGCAGGCGGGGACAGCCCGGTCCCAGCCAGGCCCCACGGGGCCCCACGGGGCCCCAGGGCTGAGCTAAGCCCACCCGGCGGCCAGTCAGGTCCCTCTCCTCCCAGCAGAGGCGGCCCCTGGGCCTGGAGGTGACCGGGCCAGTTCCTCTCCATCACACACGACGCACACACATTACACACACGTTACACTCATACACACACGTTACACTCATACACACACCTGCACTCACACATGCGCGCGCGCGCGCACACACACAGGAGAGGAAGCCGGGCAGTGTGGGTGCGGTTCTGGGGGGGAAGAGCCCCCAGGCTACAGTGTCAGGAGCATGCAGGACGGGGGTGCTCTCTGTCCCCAATTCCAGGTGAGAGGTGCCTCTGAGTAGGTGCCACTGTGCACATCCTGCACCCAGGGCACCCCGGCTCCTGAGCAGGTGGGCGTCGGCGGGGAGGGTGGCCGTGGGGGGGACACAGGCGCTGGGCCGGGGCAGGTGCCGCGTGGCCCCTCAGGAGGGCCGGGCCAGGCCTGCCGCCTTCGGAGCAGGCACTGGGGAGGCCGGCGGGCGGGCGCTGAGGGCTGCCGCTGCCGTTCCAGGACAAGGTCCGGGCCGAGAGGAGCCGCGCGCAGGGCGAGCTGGCGGCCAGCGTGGCCCACAAGGTGGCCCAGCTGAAGCCCAAGGTGAAGAGCAAGGGGCTGCCCGCCGGCCTGGGCCCGTTCCCCGGGGGCCGCGTCGGGAAGAAGCTGTCCCGGAGCAAGAGCGCCGCGGCGGCCCGACACCCCGCGCCCGGCCCCGGGGAGCCGCCCAGGTTCCCGGCCCCGCCCGCAGGGGCCTCGGCGCACGAGGCAGGCAAGTCGCCCTCCGGCCTCGGCCACTGGTCACTCAGAAGGGGTGGGCATGGCTCCCGGGCAGAGCCAGCGGCTCCCGGTCCCCACCCCACCCCACGGAGGGTCCGGAGGAGTGCCCGGAGGAGTGCCCGGTGCATCCTGGAAAGGCGCTAAAAACAGCCCCTCCCCGCAGCCGCTCTCCAGGCTGACTCCCAGCACCGGAAACCGGAAACAGACACTTCCTCCCGGCCCAAGCCCCGCCCCCAGGACCCAGCCTCAGCCCCACCCCAGGCTGACCTGGGGCTGTCTGACCACCAGCACCGGGAGCCTGGAAAACAGATGCTTCCTCCGCGGCCCCGCCCCTACAGTCCCAGGCCCCGCCCCACAGTTCCAGGCCACGCCCCACAGCCACAGGCCCCGCCCACACAGCCCCAGGCCACGCCCCGAGAACAGAGAGGAAGCGGGAAATGGCCAGGGCAGGAGCAGGCGGAAAGGGCTGTCTGGGGCAGAGGATCCCCCACCGGAAAGGCATGCGCCCCACTGCCTAAGAGTGAGAAAGGGAACTGGTCCTGGCCTGTGTGGCTCAGTGGATAGAGCATCCACCGACTGAGGAGTTCTCGGTTCGATTCCAATCAAGGGCACGCACCTCAGGTGCAGGCTCCATCACCGGCCTGGTCAGGGCATGTGCAGAAGGAACCAGTTGTGTCTCACATTAGTGTTTCTCTATCTCTGCCCTCCACCTTCCACTCCCTGCCCACCAAACAAGTGCTGGCTGTCACCATCCAATTTCAGTCTTTAAAAAAGGGAAACTGCCAAAACCGGTTTGGCTCAGTGGTAGAGCGTCGGCCTGTGGTCTGAAGGGTCCCAGGTTCGATTCCGGTCAAGTACCTTGGTTGTGGGCACATCCCCGGTAGGGGGTGTGCAGGAGGCAGCTGATCGATGGTTCTCTCTCATCGATGTTTCTAGCTCTCTATCCCTCTGTTCCTGTGAAAAATAAAGGGAAAGTGAGGCAGGGAAAGGAAGGTGAGAGAGGCATCGCCCTCTGTCCCTGTCCACACACCTCATCTGGACACCAGCCCAGTGCTTCTGAGCTCACACCCCTCCCCTACACACACACACACACACACACACACACCCCAAGGTGCTCCTCGCACGCCCTCACCCAGACCTCCCCCCAGGCAGTGGCTCCGACGCTGAGAGCTTCGAGGGCTTCCTGGGGACAGAAGTGCCCCCCAAGGAGCCGGGACCTGCCCTGCACGCCGGGGCCCCCGTGGCCATGCTGGGGCCCTCGCCCTCCTCCGTGGTCAAGATGGAGGCCAACCAGAAGGCCAAGAAGAAGAAGGAGCGGCAGGGCTTGCTGGGTAACCGGGCGGCCGGGGCGGGCGGGGAGCCTGGCGGTGGGGGCCCGCAGCTGGGCCCCCGGCAACGACCCCTCCCTCCGCAGGGGCCTGCCGCCTGTCCAGCCCCGAGAGCGAGGTCAAGATCAAGAGGCGGACGGCCAAGGCCAAGGCGGGCACCGCTCTGGAGCGGGCTCCGGGCCGCCGGCTGCCCAGCGCCCCTGGCAAGAAGAAGGCCCGTGGCAAGGCCAAGGGCGGCCTGCGGGCCGAGCCGGGGGCCACCGGCAGGGACACCCTCTTCGGCCCCGCCCGCGCCTTCCCCTGCCCCGAGGGCGGCCCCCTGGCCAGCGAGCGCCTCAAGAGGGCCACACGCAAGAGCACCATGCTCCAGCCCGGGCTGCGGGTGAGCGGGCACCCCGGGCCAGCGGGCACCCCCAGCCAGTGGGCAACCCCCAGCCAGCGGGCACCCCAATGACCAGTGGGCACCCCCACGGCCAGCGGGCACCCCAATAACTAGTGGGCAATCCCCCCGGCCAGCGGGCACCCCCATAACCAGTGGGCACTCCCCCAGCCAGCAGGCACCCCCATAACCAGTGGGCATCCCCATAAACAGTGGGTACCCCCACAGCGGGCACCCCGGTGTCCTGGGCCAGTGGGGTCACCGGATGGGAAAGGCTCCGGGGCCCTGTGCCAGGGGCAGCACCCCGGGCGGCTGCGGGCGGGAGGCGGGCCGAGGTCACACATCCCCCACGTTCCAGCAGCGCAGGAACGGGGCCCTGCCCCTGGCCCTGTCGCCCCGCAATGCCAAGGCCGTCCTGGGGAAGGGCAGGAAGGCGGGCAGGACCAGCAAGGCCGTCGGCAAACAGGTAGGTTCCCGCCAGCCCTGGACCCGGAGGGGTGCCCGGACCCCGTTCCCTTCCCCGGGAACTGACTTGGCGGCCCGCAGGGCAAGGGCCACGCGGTGAGCCGGCTGCTGCACGGCTTCTCTGTGGACGAGGACTTTGAGTTCGCCGACAGCAGCAGCTTCTCGGAGGGGGAGGACGACGAGGAGGCCAGTGGGCCCCTGAGCGCCGAGCAGAGCGCAGCCCTGGGTGAGGGGCCAGGGCTCCGGGCGAGGGGCTGGGGCGAGGGGCGAGGGGCCGGGGCTCCGGGCGAGGGGCCGGGGCTCCGGGCGAGGGGCCGGGGCTCCGGGCGAGGGGCCGGGGCTCCGGGCGAGGGGCTCGGGCTCCGGGCGAGGGGCCGGGGCTCTGGGTGAGGGGCCGGGGCCCTGGGTGAGGGGTCAGGGCTCCGGGTGAGGGCGGGGGGCAGGGGCCTGGGCCTCTGAGGCAGCACGGTGGGGGGGCGGGGGCGGGACTGCCTCTGACCCCTGCCCCGCCCCCAGCGCGCTCCTGCACCATCCACAAGGAGGACCTGCAGGACGGGCTGCCGGTGCTCATCCCCAAGGAGGACAGCCTGCTGTACGCGGGCAGCGTGCGGAGCCTGCAGCCCCCGGACATGTGAGGCGGGTGTGGCGGGGACCCCACGGCCTGGGTGGTGGCGGGGCCCGCAGGCCTGCCTGACGCCCCCCACCCCGCCCCCAGCTACAGCATCGTCATCGAGGGCGAGAGAGGCAACCGGCAGAGGATCTACTCCCTGGAGCAGCTGCTGCAGGAGGCGGTGCGGGCACACCCGCCGGGGAGGGGCTGGCTGCTCCCGCACCTCCCAGGCACCCCCGAGCCCACCCGCCACTCACACGTCTGCCCGGCTGTTCCCCAGGTCCTTGACGTCCGGCCGCAGTCCAGCCGGTTCCTCCCACCCGGCACGAGGGTCTGCGCCTACTGGAGCCCGAAGTCCCGCTGCCTGTACCCTGGCAACGTGGTCCGAGGTCAGCCCAGCCGGCCCTCCCCGCGGGCAGGGGCCCCGGAGGGGGGGGGTCTGGGGGACAAGGAGGGGTCCAGCTGCCCCATGGCCTGCGAAGGATGGGACCCAGCCGCTCGGGCACAGCTCCCGGGGGAACCCTGGGCCCCGGGTGGGGGTGCAGAGCCCCAGGGCCTGACAGTGACGGCAGGTGGGCAGCGCAGGGCCTGGGCCTGACATGGACGCACATGGGTGGGGAGGGCTGGCGCACGGGTGATGGATGGAGGCGATATTGCCGTCAGCTGTGCCGGGGGGGGGGGGGGGCGGGTGTTGCCGCCGTCCGGCCGCTCCAAGGTCGAATGTGCTCAGGGCGCACAATGGCCAGTGCGGTTGGCCAGGCGCCCCGCACCCTCAGCCCGGCCTCGCCCCCAGGCACCTCGAGCGGCGAGGAGGAGGACCTGGACTCCGTGCTGGTGGAGTTTGACGACGGGGACACGGGCCACATCGCCGTCTCCAACATCAGGCTGCTGCCCCCCGACTTCAAGATCCAGTGTGAGCAGCCGGGCGGGCCTCCGGGTCGCTCCCCGGGCGGGGGGGGGGGGGGCGGCGGTCACCTGAGGCCACGCATCCGCTCCGCAGGCACGGAGCCCTCGCCGGCCCTGCTGGTGCCCACCGGCTGCCGCAGGACCAAGAAGGCGTCCTGCCAGGCCGCCCCGCCCAGCGAGCCCGCCGCCCCCAGCCGGTCCCCCAAGGCGCACGAGGGCCCCGACACCGCCAAGGTCGCCGGGAAGAAGTCCGTCAGCAGAGACAGAGCTGGTATTGGGGGGCTGCCCAGAACCCCGGGGGTGGGGGGGCCGCCCACGCGGCCGCCCCTGACGCCCCTGCCCCCGCAGGCAAAGCGGAGCTCCTCGCCACGGGCGCCAAGGCCGGCGCGGGGCCCCCGGACTCCTTCCCGGGCCGCCGGGCCGGCCCGCTGCTGAGCTGGTCCGCGGTGGCGCAGACCCGGCGGAAGGCGGCAGCGGCCAAGGCCCCGGGGCTGCTGCAGAACCTCTTCCCCGGCGGCGGCGGCGGCGGCGGCGGCGGCGCCAGGCGGCTGCGGGCCCGCGAGGCGCTCTTCCCGGTGCACGGCGTGCCCGCGCCCGTGTTCGGCAACGGCTTCCGCGCCGACTCCTTCAGCAGCCTGGCCAGCTCCTACGTGCCCTTCGTGGGCGGGGCGGGGCCGGGGCTGCCGGGCGGCGCCCACCGGCTGCTGCGGGCCAAGAGGGCCGAGCGGGCCGAGGGCGGGCGGCGGCGGGCGGGCGGCGAGTTCCTGGTGAAGCTGGACCACGAGGGCGTGACCTCCCCCAAGAACAAGAACTGCCGGGCCGTGCTCCTGGGCGACAAGGACCTGGGCCCCAAGCTGGGGCGGCCGCTGCCCGTCGCCGGCTACGCGCACCCCGCCCTTGCGGGCAAGGACCGGAAGGGCCGGGCGCCCGCGGCCCCGCTGCCCGTGGGGCTGGCGCTGCGCAAGCTGGCGGGCCAGGCCGAGTTCCCGCTGCCCTGCGACAGCGACTGCCACAGCTCCTGCTCCGACGAGGACGACGGGCCCAGGCTGGCGCCCGGCCTGCCCGCCCGCTTCCTGGCCCGCCTGTCCGTGTCCTCCTCCTCCTCCGGCTCCTCCACTTCCTCCTCCTCCGGCTCCCTGTCCACCTCCAGCCTCTGCTCCTCGGACGACGAGGGCTCCTCCTTCAGCTCGGACGAGGAGGACCGGGCCCTGCTGCTGCAGACCTGCCTCACCCACCCGGTGCCCGCCCTGCTGGCCCAGCCCGAGGCCCTGCGCGCCAAGGGGGGCGGCCCGCACGCCCACACCCCGCGCTGCTTCCTGTCCCGGGCCGCCGTGGCGGGCGGGGGCCCGGGACCCGGCGGCGGGGGCGGCGGCAAACCCAAGCTCAAGCGCAAGGAGCCCCTGAGCTTCTCCAAAGCCAAAGAGGGACCGCGGAGGCAGCGGCTGCCGTCCGTGGAGAACCGGCCAAAGATCTCCGCCTTCCTGCCGGCCCGGCAGCTCTGGAAGTGGTCGGGGAGCCCCACGCAGGTAGGTGGGCCCCGGGCGCGGGGCGCGCCCCGTCCTCCCCTTTCCTCCCTCGCTTCCCTCCGCCGTGATGCCCGGGGCGAGCCGCCCTCCCGCCTCGCTGTGCCCGTGTGACCGTGGACGGGCTGGCGGACGCCCTGCGCTTTGCCGTGGGGTCGCCTGACACCGGCCTCGGCCCTTTCCCGAGTCCTTTCTCGGGGGCCGCAGCGACCTGCGCTCGGACCCGTCCCTAAGCCGGCCGTAGCCCCAGCGTGGACCCCCGCCCCCGCTCTCGCGTCTGTCCCTCCCTCCGCCCGCCCGCCCGGCCGGCCCTCACCGCCCCGTGCCCGCAGCGCCGCGGCGTGAAGGGCAAGGCCCGCAAGCTGTTCTACAAGGCCATCGTGCGGGGCAAGGAGACGCTGCGGGTGGGCGACTGTGCCGTGTTCCTGTCGGCCGGCCGCCCCAACCTGCCCTACATCGGCCGCATCGAGAGCCTGTGGGAGTCCTGGGGCAGCAACATGGTGGTCAAGGTCAAGTGGTTCTACCACCCCGAGGAGACCAAGCTGGGCAAGCGGCACAGCGACGGGAAGGTGGGCGGGCGGGGCCCGGCAGGCGGGCGGGGGGGCCGCCGGGGGGCGCCAGGCCGGCCCTGACGCCGCTGCCCCCCCAGAACGCGCTGTACCAGTCCTGCCACGAGGACGAGAACGACGTGCAGACCATCTCCCACAAGTGCCAGGTGGTGGGGCGCGAGCAGTACGAGCAGATGGCGCGGAGCCGCAAGTGCCAGGACCGGCGGGACCTCTACTACCTGGCGGGCACCTACGACCCCGCCACGGGGCGCCTGGTGACGGCCGACGGCGTGCCCATCCTGTGCTGAGCCTGCGCCCGCCGGTGCCGCTCGGGGCCGGGACTGGGGCGGACGCCGAGCGGAAGGCGGCGCGGGAACAAATATGCAAACCAGCGAGGCGATCCAGGCCGGTTCCCGGAGAGCCCGCCTCGGCACCGCCCCCGCCCCGCGGGCGCCGCCCCCCCCACTGCCCGGCCTCTGCCTCCCGCCCTCCCGCGGCTCAGAGAGAAGCATCCAAGCCATATCTTCCCTAGTACCTCCGACTGTCCCACCAGGGAGAGAGAATCAGGTGTCTGTCTATTTATTGTTCTGTACATAGTGTGTTTCTGCGGGAAGTTTTATGAAAACACGCGGGACAGGACTTGTCTCCCGTGTGCGTGACGAGGATGTGCGTGTGCGTGCGTGTGCGGGTCTGTTCGGGGCTTTCTTTGAATGCACTGTCTCCTCAGCCGGCTGTGTCCGGCTGGCGTCTGTGACCAAGGAGGCGGGGCCGGGCCGAGCTGGGGCATCAGATGGAGGCCACACGTGAGTTCCTTTCACGTGACTCCATCTCCTGGGTAGAACGGGTGGGGGGTCCCCTCCCGAGGGGTAAGTAGAGCCCAGCCCCCTCCTCCTCGAGCCCCCCCCCCCCCCGGGTGGCCACAGACACATGTATCTTACCTCTGTTTCAACGAAACAAAAATGAACAAACGTTTCCGAGTGTTGGATGACGGCGATGTGTGGTCTCAGTTCCTGAATATTCCCGTCACTTCTGGCCCCGCCGCGGCCTCTGCCTGGAAGAGTGGACCAGCCTCAGCCCTCGGGTCCCGGCCTGTCCCCGAGCCGCTGGGCAGGGCCGACGGCGTTGGGGGGCTGGGCGCTCGCTCCAGGCCACACCGGTCACCTGGTCCCCGCTCCTGAGGCCGGCCTGGGCCCAGGGCACGCCCTTGAGGTGCTCTGAGGGCCACACATCCCCACCAAGAGCCCCAGGAAAGCCCCCCAAGTTCGCCCTGGCTCAGGAGGCACCACAGACACAGCCCAGGTTCCCGGGAAATGGGGTGCTGGCAGGTGCCCGGCACCCAACCCCGGCCCCTCTGTCTTTGACCAGGAAACCCTGCGGCGGCCTGCAGGGCCCTCCTCCGCCTCCTGGTGGCTCTGTGGGAAGCGCGGGACCAGGAGGGGGTCCGCACAAGTGCAATATCCATTCCCGGTGGCGTCTGCGTGGGTGATGGCAGCCCAGAGTCCGAGCCCGCGGTGCGGGGCCAGGCACCCTGTCCGTGCTGACCGCCCTCGGCGCCTGCCCCCCGCGCTCTCCCCGTCCCCCGCATTCCCCTCCCCCGTCTGCGTGCGTGTGACGCCCCGCCTGGCGGGGCCGGCTGCTGTAAATGTGTAAACTAGGAGGGGTGGGTTTTTCAATGTAAACACTAAAAACAAACAAAAACAGAGGTTTTATGAGCAGCAGACTCTATGTAAATGCATTTTAGTATTAAATTTTTTATCGATAACTTGCTTAAGAATAAATATATGAGCTATTGTTCCGGAATCTTCCGGGATCCGAACTGTGCCTCCGTGTCCCTGTGTGTCCCACGGGGATCGGAGGCCCCGAAGGGCGGGCCGGCATGAAGCCCGTCGGCCGTGTGACCAGAGGGCGTGCGGCACCTGGGCCTGTGAGACCCCGGAAAGGCCCCTCGCCTGGTGGGGACCTGAGTGAGTGAGGTGTGGGCGGTGGGCGCCCCGGCGGAGGGGGTCAGCCCACGGGGAGGGAGGCCCCCGCACTTTGACCAAGATGAACGAGCGTTCTGGGAAATGCTGAAGCAGGACCAGGGGCCGGAGCGAGACCCATCGATGGAGTGGTGCTCCATCAGGGGGAGTGACAGCCCGCCGATCGCAATTCACGTTTAATGCCACAAACCACTTGGGGCCGCGGGCTGCGGGGTCCAGGCCCCTGGCTGGGCGAGGAGGCTGGGCGGATGGGGAGTGGGATCAGGCCCAGTGGGGGGGGGCCTCTGGTCCAGCCGGCGAGAGGTCACCTGGGCACTCGGTGGCCAAAGGCCAGTGGCCCGTCTGTCCCCTGGAGGCCGCCTGAGCCTGAGGAGACCGGGAAGGAGGGAGCAGCTCAGAGGCCTGGTGCCAGCTGGGGAAGTGGGCACTGCGGACGGGACACTGGGGGCTCCCTCCCCTCCAGCCAGGAACCTGGGGTCTCCACTCCCCACGGCATTGCCTGCTGCCCCCCGCCCGCCCGACCCCGGGGTTCTGGAAGCAGCCGGTCCTCCGTAAGCTGCCCAGCCAGGTGCTCAGAGGCTGAGCGTCCACCAGGAGGCCGCAGGGCGAGTCCCAGTCAGGGCCCAGGCCCAGGTGTGGACTCCACCCCCAGTGCCGGGCGTGCAGGAGGCAGCTGACCTGTGATGCTCTCTTGTCATGGATGTTCCTCTCCCCCTCTCCCTTCCTCTCTGACATCAATAAACAGGTTTTTAAAAGTGACAAAAAACAGCCTGTGGGCCTGTCCACCCGCACCCCTCGGCGTGGCCCCTGGGCGGCGGGTGCTGAGGCCGAATCAGATGGGGCTGGCGGGGGCACACCCAGAGCCTCCTGGGCGGGGGGACCAGGCTCCTCAGCTTGGCTGTGCGGGGAGCTAAACCACCCTGCCTGGGTGGAGCCTTCCCCACATCTGAGACCTGCCCCGCCCCACCCCGCCAGGAAATCTGTTTTCACTTAGAGACACAGGCTGCCTCAGGGGCCGCACTGACAGGCGGTTACTGTCACCGCGGCCGGCCAGCCCCCCTGACCTGGCACCGAGCCGCCGGGCGCTCTGCTCCTGGGAGGCCTGTGGATGCGGCCACGCCCAGCACAGGGAGAGACAGACACACACACAGACGTACAGACACGCAGGGGCGATGGCCCGGGCGATGCCACAGAGCTCCCCGCGTGGAGTTCCTAATCACAAGGCCCCGTGCCCTACCCCAGGCCCCGCTGTCTCCCCTCCCCCCCACCGGCCATGGGCGCAGGCACAGTGGGGGCGGGCGGGGGTAGGAGGGAGCGGCAGGAGGGTGTGCCCAGGACCCAGGGGGAGCCTTCCTGCACGCCGCCCTGAATCCCGGCCGTCAGCAGCAGCCGCCGCCGGTGTCCGTCAGCTGGACTCCGTGCCCCTGGGCCCTCCCGTACCGGCCGTTGCCCTCACCCAGAGCAGATGCCCTCGGCCCGGAGGAGCCCTAACTGCTCTGGGGACCCCGCGGGCCCTGCCACCCAAGGACGCGCGTCTGAGCCCGGACAGCGGGAGCCAGTGACGCCTCCCTGCACAGCCCAGGGGGGGGACACGGACCCCATCGGCTCTCCCGCCTCTCGGGTGCCACCAGGACCGGGCACCAAAGGTGGGGCTCCATTCCCGGTCGGGAGGCGTGCAGGCCATGATCGCCGTTTCCGTCTCGTTAACGTGTCGATGTCTCTCTCTCCCACCCTCCACCCCCACCCCCTAAAAATGGACCTGAGAAAACGTGTCCTGGACCCAGTGTTCTTTGAGGCCCGTTCTCAGTCCCAAGGTCACGGCCAAGTTGGGGCAGGCTCCACAGCCCGGAGCCCGGTCACAGCCGACACCGCATTTATTGTGGAATCCTGTGCGCTTCCCAGGACACCCTGCCCTCTGCTCCCACAGCCCCTGCCCCCCCTCGCCCTCCCACTGTCCTGCCCCCGCCTTCCCAGCGCCCAGAGTCCCCCCAGCCCCGCTGTTGCCGCCCTCACTCTGCAGCTCTGGGCCCGGGCCCGCCCAGCTCTCGCACCCGCCACCGCTCAGCTGTGAGCTCTGGCTCAGTCCCAGGAGTCAGGGCTGGAGCCCTGCGGCTGCCCCGGCCCCGGCGGGCACAGTGGCCTGGCTCCCGGGATGACACCCACAGGTGAGCATTCTACCCACAGGCCTCCGGGGTGGCGCAGGGTCCCAACCCCGAGCTGCCAGGAGGGACAGGAGGCTTAGGCTGTGCCTCCCTGCAGCCCCTGCAGCACAGACGCAGCGCCAGGGGCTCCGCGGGGCTCCGCGTGCTCCTCAGCGGGAGGCGCCGAGGGCCCGTGTGCACCCGCCTCCCGCTCGGCTCAGCAGACAGCCGCCGCCACGGACCGCGAGCTTACGTTTTATTTTTAATAATTTTTTTTTTCAGAGGAGAGAGAAGGGTAGAGAGAGAAACATCCATCATGAGCGGGGATCATGGGTCGGCTGCCTCCCACACTGGGGACGGAGCCCGAAGCCCAGGCCTGCGCCCTGACTGGGAGTTGAACTCTGACCTCCTGGTTCACAGGGCAGGCGATGCTCAGCCCCTGGACCACCTCCACCGCCGGGACAGCCCACCCGCTGGCTCCCATGGCCCTGGGTGCTGGCTGCTCCCACAGTGAGGGTACCGCCGAGCAACCGCTCCCCCTCCCCCCTCCTAAACACCCCTCTCCCCCTCCCCACTTCTAAATACCCCTCCCCCTCCTAAACACCACCCCTCCCCCTCCTAACCACCCCTCCCCCCTCCTAACCACCCCTCCCCCCTCCTAAACACCACCCCTCCCCCCTCCTAAACACCACCCCTCCCCCTCCCCCACCCCTCCCCCCTCCTAAACACCCCCTCCCCCCTCCTGAACACCCCTCCCCCTCCCCCCTCCTGAACACCCCTCCCCCTCCCCCCTCCTGAACACCACCCCTCCCCCTCCCCCTCCTAAACACCATCCCTCCCTCTCCCCTCCCCCCTCCCAAACACCACCCCCCCCCTCCCAAACACCACCCCTCCCTCTCCTGACCACCCCCCTCCCAAACACCACCCCTCCCCCTCCCCGTCCTAAACACCACCCCTCCCCCTTCCCCTCCCAAACACCACCCCTCCCCCTCCCCCCTCCTGAACACCACCCCCCTCCCTCTCTCCCTCCTGAACACCACCCCTCCCCCTCCCCAACACCACCCCTCCCCCTTCCCCTCCCAAACACCACCCCTCCCCCTCCCCCCTCCTGAACACCACCCCCTCCCCCTCTCCCTCCTGAACACCACCCCTCCCCCTCCCAAACACCACCCCTCCCCCTCTCCCCTC